ATTCGAGTTGCAACCAGAGTCACGGAACGGATTAAATTCGTAACTCGAGGTTCCACTGTATAGGTTTTGTTGCTCTATGAAGAGAGAAATGCTCTTTCTCCCTTCAGACCTCCTCCTCTGTGTTCAAATGTGATTGCTCCATGGCAAATTCAGGATTTTTTTTTTCTTTATGGATCTTTTTTGGGGAGGGCACCTGGAGCGAAATGGCTTGTTGTGCAAAAACCTGCTGAAATCTGAGCGTGCCTCTGATCTCACTCTTCCCGTTGTCTGCAGGGGTTAAGGTGTGATTTGTTTCCTGTTTCCCCCAAAATAGACACAGACACCAACACACACACACACACCAGGTTCTTCAGTCTCCATGGTGACATGTTAATCTATTGTCCCTCTTGGTCTGATATAGAAATGTAGGTATTCCAGAGCACTGAATGGGGCTCTGTTTAAGAAAAAATAAATGTATGCTTTTGCATCTCGGTTATTAAGGGAGCAGAAGCCTGTTGCTTCCTCCAGGTATTATAAGCCAGGATGTTGGAAACGCCCCTGTGGAGAAGCGGAGAAGGGGATTAACCAACCATCAGGCTGATCTGGAGTCTGGCGTCTTTTGCTTTCTGATAAGCCCATCCAAGCATTGAAAGGAAGGTGATCTGGTTAAGCCCAGATTAAAGAGAGTAACTGATGGTCTGCTGTGCCTGGCTGGGTTGTTTTCATCCCAGCTCTCACACGCGTTCGCCGGTGGGCATCTCTTGGGAACTCGGTGTACAGCAGGACCACTTTTCCAACGGGTGGGTCTAGACTGGGGGGAAATCAGCCCATCTTCCTGGGATCCTGCGGATGGGCAAACGGACGAGTTTAGCTCTGAGCAGTGTAGATTTTCTTTGGCTTGAGAAAGACCCACGTTAAGGAAGAGAACCTCCACAGAATGTTGCAGCGTGCAGCGCCGCTATTCCGGGGACGCTAGTCTGTTTTCCCTCTCTTCCGATTTTCCATCCCTCCCACCATTTCTTTCGGCATCGCTCTGAATTGTTCGTTTAACTGAATTAACCCCGAGGGGCAGGTTCAAGCCAGGTGCAACCAGGCTCCATCATGGTTTAGTGCACTGTTTCTCAACATCTTTTCTTTAAGATGGGTGGACTTCAACTCCCAGAATTCCCCAGCCAGCATGGTTAGGGGTAGGGGTAGGGGTAGGGGTAGGGGTAGGGTTAAGGTTAGGGTTGGCTGGGGAATTCCGGCTGGGGAATTCTGGGAGTTGAAGTCCACCCATCTTAAAGTGGCTAAGGTTGAGAAACCCTGGTTTAAGCATGTAATGTGAAAACTGGGTCGTATTGCTTCTCCCTATCGTCTTTTCCTCCCCCCGCCGCAGATCCTTGCAAAAGCACCCACAATGACATGAACCGAGTCTGCCGCGTCAACCCTCGCTCGCGCCGGGCGGAGCTCCTGCCGCGCCCCGAAAGCTGCCCCTTGAAGAAAGACCTGGTGTGCGGGGACGACGGAGTGACCTACGAAAACGAATGCGTCTTGCTGAGGACGGGTGCCATTCGGGGGATCGAGATCCAGAAGCTGCGTTCAGGCCCGTGCCAGCTTCAGGGTAAGCGAATTTCAACGGCCGGCTGTCATGCCAGGGATTTTCAGGCCCAGTTTGGAGGTCCTGGAAGCAGCAGCCAGTGCAAAGGGGAGTGGGAAGTTTCTAATGTTCTCATGAACGTGCCTGAGGTGGGCAGATGGAAAGGGAGTTGGTACAAAGAGCAAGTCAGACAGACAGACAGACGTCCCGCCGGCCTTTTTGCACTGTTGAGAACTGACTCTCCTTGGTGTCTGCAGACAAATGCCGGGACGAGTGCCGTTTCAACTCCGTGTGCCTCATCCGCCGGGGACTCGCCCGCTGCTCCTGCGAGCGCGTCGTTTGCGATGGCGCCTACCAGCCTCTCTGTGGCAGGGACAGCCGGACCTACGTCAACGACTGCGAGCGCCAGAAGGCGGAGTGCCAGCAGAGAGCCGCCATTCCGGTCAAGCACCATGGACCTTGTGGTAAGTGAGGCCAGACGGATCCAAAAATCACCCATTTCTCTGCATCAGTCCAGGGGATGCAGCCGGAAGAGGTAAGTCTGGCTCTGATGATGAGGGGTGGTCTGACCTGCTCTCCTTCTTCCTCTCAACTCTTTTCCCGGTGTCCCCTGCACTCCTCTTGCAGCCGTTGTCCTGTTCTAGACCTGTGTCGTCATCCTTTTGTCCTTGCGGGGGATTTTGGATAAGAGTGTTCAGTCCTGTCCATCTTCCATCTTTGCATCTTTCCGTCTCTCATGCCTGTCCTACCTGCTTGCTGATTGCTTTCTCCTGCCAAGTTTGGGCATCCCAATTCTCCTCCTGCACCATCCAGGCTGGTTCCCACACACCTTTCAATTCTTCCCGACAAATCTTTCTTAGTTTGCAGGGGTGAGTCTTGGCGGTGTCTTTGCCTTAAATCTGTGGAGGACCAAAATTGAGGCACGCAAAGCGGGTAGCGCTTTCCCTAAAGAGCTCAGAGGAGGCTGCTGGTTGACCCTAACGCAGAGAGGAAAAAAAGAGGATCCAGCCTGTTCATTCGTTCTGCTTATTTGTATGCAACTTTCCCCTTAACTTTTGCCCAAAGTGTTTTACCAACAAATGATCAATATGAACGCTCAGAATAAAATGTAACCAATACTTGTCATTGGCCCATACGTCACCACTTGAATCTCCTTCCTCTGTTTCCCCTCTGTGGAATTTCAGACTGCAGATTCCTGGACCAGAGATCTGGATGTTCTTTATAATATTAAGGATAATTTTGTGTAGGTGTACAATAGATCAAAGAAGTCCCATGCAGAGAATCAGTTGTCGAGGGCACCTTGGGTTTACGTTGGCTTTATTTGCAACCATTTCGGAGAAGGATTTTGCAACTTCATTCCTACAACAGGCAAATTTGATTACCGTTAACCTTTGGTAAGGCTTGTATGCTGGGCAAAGGCGGCCGTATCTCCTTAGTTGGTGATTCAGTGTATTATGTGAATCCCCAGAATGAGTTAAATCAGTAACTAGATTAAATGCACTAGCTAAACCATGGTAATATGGAACAGCTTTCCACCTCTTCTGAAAATTCATTGGGCAGTGATACAATATTATCTCTCTCAGGAGCATCCAGAAAAAGATAAACTCTTGTTTTTCTTGCCGGCTTAAAAAAATGGTGTGAAAGGAAGAAGAAAATTAATCTCCCCTGTCTTGTGTGCAGAAGCAAAACTGATTACATATCCCACCCCCTGAAAGCAGCCCAACATTTGCATTGATGCAAATAATTGTCCACTAACTCTTCTGCCACAATAGATCTTTTAATCTTTAAATTGCCCCCAGATTCTTTGATGTGAAACGTAATATTCACGGGTTTGATTTAATGAACAGGAGCGACAAAGGCATTTATTACACATGGAGAACCGTCTTTTCACTTCATTCTGCCCTGTTGGCAGTTCCCAAATACTAAGATGATTTTTGGAACCCCTCTTTCAACCCCCCTGATTTTAAACACGCCCCTTCGCCGTGCCAAACGTCGTCCCCCACGTGGGATTGACAGAAGTGAAATTCAACTTAGGGACGGAGTGGCCGAAGAAAGTTGGAGGCGTCAGAGGGGGAATTCAATTGGGGTGTGCCTGGAAACTCAGGGGAAGCAGTCCATAGCTATGTCTGTCTCTCCCCCCCCCACCTTCTTTCTCTCCTTTCTCTTTCCTTTCTCTTTCTCTCTTTCTTTCTGTTGTCTTGTGTTTTCTAGTGTTTCCTGTTCGGAGAGAGGAAGTGCGCCTGCCCAGTTCTCCAGTGCACTCTACCAGGAAAATTCTGCTCCGAGGTTGGGTTCTTCTCTCTCCTCCGCTTTCTCTGCCTCCTCTTAGCATTGCTTGTTTCCCTGCATCTCGTAGGGTGGGGGAACCCTGTTTCCCTCTTGCCCCGAAAGCATTTTGCACCTCTCCCTTGTCCGTCGAGGCCCCAAAGGCACGACCTTTGGTGGCCAGCGTTTTCTTCCCCTTGGAGGACCAGACACACCCCACTTTAGGCTGTCGCCCTTCTCCCGCACGCTGCATTCCCACGACATTCTTAGCCTGGCAACTGAATTAGCTCATCTTCTGGGTTGGGGTGTCATAAACTGAACACACGGGATGGCATGGGGCAACCCGGCACTGCCGAGGGAAAAAACTTACTCCAAGGTGAAGGAGGTTGGGGAAACGTCCCGTTATGTCTTTCGCTGGCCTGGTTAAGCGTGTTGTATGAATAGAGCCCCCGGGCATTTGTCTCCCAGTGAATGAGCTAATCTGGGCTGCTCCTGTTATATTCAGAATAGATCCATTTCTCCATTCTGACCTTCCTGGCTGGCTTTTTGGGAATTGTTTTGCTGCCCTTGTCATTTGATTTACACTCCCCTCTCTTCCTCTGTCTGCGTGCATGGGAACAGCCGTGCTGTCCTGGTCCCGTGGGAGTTAAAAACGTCACCCAGCAGCCACGGTGCAGGCTGGGAGCTCAGTTTCCTTCTGGGCCACGGAAGGGAACTGAGCAGAAGGGTGCACGTTGGGCTCCTACAACTGTCAAGAATAAAAAGCTGCTAGATTGGTTGGGCCAATCTAGCAGCTTTGGGACCTGCTCTCCTGCCCTAGTTTTCTGCAAGTTGCTTTTCCACCCCAGTTTTAATAACAGAGAGCCTCCAGAGTGGGGCTAGTGGCTGAAACAGAGAAACAGACCCTTTTTTTGGACCGTGGTCACCACTTGGCCTCAGAACAGCCTCTCTGGTCTGCTCGGCTGAAAGGTGGCGGAATCCACCTGCAAATGGATAAAATTTGATATCCTTATTGTGCAATGTAGATGTAGCATAGGAATCCCCTTTCATACAATTGCTCCCCACGGATTTTTTCCTTCCTTCTCTTGCCGTCTGGAAAACGGCAGTTCGGCATCCGGTTTGGGTGGGCTCTGGGGATGGGGCCCGAGAACCCCAAGGAGTCCTGAGGCTCAAATGGTTCCACTCCTGGGCTACGGTGTGGAAGGACCCAGGTTCCAACAAACTACTGTATTAGGGGAGTTGGCCACATATAGACTTTCTAAAAAAATAAAATGAATCAAGACATCCACACTTGGCCACGAGGTTTGATGGCTGGCCAGTTCACGATGAAATTTGAACAGCGTCCTGTTCCTTCTTTGCTGAATTGGGGGGGGGGGGGGTTCTTAGAAGTGCATGGCGATTGGCTAGTTTTGGGCTTGATCTCCCATTTTTCTTTTTTCCTTGAGGCAGGAGAGAGCTAGATGCTTGCTATGTTGAAATCCTGCAGAGAGGCCTCTAGCCCGCAAGTGAGGAAAGGGCATGGCTGACTTTCGCCCTGACAGGCTTGCTTTCTACCTGCAGGGAAAGGGGGAGGAAGGGACTCCTCCAGCCAGCTCCCTGCTGATGAAAATCCAGCAAGATTAGAGACTTCCTCCCTGATGTCCTGTTGACCCGTGGGCTGAGGTCTTATTTTAAGATTGGTTTTGTTCGCACGGCCCGCAGGGCAGAGACCAATGGGCCGTCGCATGAGATGCAAAATTTAGAATAGCAACGGCCTCTTCTTCCTAATCGCTGCATTTGTCATCCTGTCTTGGTGGCTTTCCCCGCCCTCCTCTTCCTCTCTGTTTCTCTCCCTCCCTCTCTGAGCACTGTGGAATGCAGATTTGCCTTGCAGTGAATTTCCCCAGCCTGCTTTTCACTCCCTCCCTTTGAGCAATTTGGAATTGCGTGGCCCCGACATCGATATCGACCTCGGCACTTTTGCAGACCGAACAATTGCAGGCTTTCTCTCCCCCCCGTGCTCCCTCCCACACCCCTGGCTTTTGTTCGTCCCACTCCTACGTGCATGAGGGGCCCCATCTCGAGCCAATGAAGGATTGAGAGAAAGGGCGATCTCATCAATAAATAAACCCCGGTTTCACCCAGAGGCTGAAAGCGTGAGAAATTCTAAGTTGTAACCGCAGTGGTGCAAATCTTTCCTCTTTGGGATCGGAGGCGGTCTCTGCTTTTGTGGCCACAGAGCTCTGAGAACTAGAGCCTATTGCTCTGATGCGATTACCACTTCCAAACAAAGTTTCTAGTCCTCATGAAAAGTACAAGCATACCCCAAAGGTGGAGCAACAGTTATTTCAGGGATCAAGATACAAATGGTGATGCTTACTAGGTAACTTCCAGACATACTCTCTGCCCACTTAACCCACCTTATAGGGTTGTTGTGAGGAGAAGAGATGAGAGAGGGAATATGACATTCAGCCCCAAACGCCTAAAAATATCAAGTGTTGTTGCTGTGCTGGATAGTAATAATGTTATTGGAGGAGAATGCATGATTTTCCTGCAGCTTATTGCAGCTCTGGGTGAATAGGAGAAATAAAATTAAGTGTGTCCTTTTGGGCAAACGGGGTATAACTAGCCCAAGTGGATCTGCCACCCAGCACGGCTGAATCGCCAGCCCACCCATTTGGCAAAATCCAGAGTGCGCCCGCTGTGGTTTTTCCACATCGTTGGGGATCCTCCACTCCCTCCGCAGTTCTTTTAGGAGCGAACGCTGATCCCTTCCCTCTTGCAAGAAGGGGCGGTGAGTAAGGAAATTCCAGGGCATCCATTTGCCTTGAAACGTGTCCCACCGGTTTGAGTAATAGCGGATCAATTGCTGAAGCGTTGGGGGAGATGGAGATGGAGATACTTGGCCCAGCTCCAGAAGATGTCGCTGCTCTAACCATTCTACCCGCTTTCCTGCCGTTCTGATCCAGATCTTGGCAAGCCGAGCCCCTGCCTGAGCGTTGAGTGCCAGTTTGGGGCTACCTGCGTGGTGAAGAACCAGGAGGCCGTGTGCGAATGCCAGCAGGTGTGCCAGAGCGTCTATGATCCAGTGTGCGGCAGTGATAACCTCACGTACAGCAACCCTTGCGAGCTAGACGCCATGGCGTGTGCCCTCCGGAAGGAGATCCAAGTGAAACACAAGGGCCCCTGTGGTGAGTCCTTAGATCACCTCCTCCCTGGTGTAAAATAGAAAATCGCTAGCAGGTAGTTCCCTGGTCGCCTCCGAAAGCAAGGCTTTTGCCAACCTTCCTGACTTTATTCTCATTTCATTCGGAAAGGTGTGCCTGGGAGTTTTAGAGGGAAAGCCCAGTGACATTCCCAACTCAGTTAAGGATTCAGATACAGTGGTACCTCTACTTACGAACGCCCCTACTTACGAAAATTTCAAGATACGATCAGCTCCGGCCTCAAAAATTTACCTCTACTTACGAATTTGCCTCGACTTACTGGCCATTTTTCCGCCCGTGCCACGTGGTCGGCAGCCATTTCCCGCCAGTTCCACGTGGTCCGCGGCCATTTTCCGCCCGTTCTACGTGGTCTGCGGATTTTTCCGCCCCTGACACGTGCTCTGCGGCCATTTTTTCCCCCCTGACGCGTGGTCAGCGGCTGTTTTTCCGCCCCTGACGCGTGGTCCGCGGACACTGGAACGGATTAACGGTAATTACATTGAACCTTATGGGAAAATTTACTTCGGCTTGCGGCCAACTCCACAT